TTAAGGAGAGAGCGGACATGTCGTTCCTGCCATGGAATCACTGTGAAGCCTCTCTTCCGGAGACTCTCGTAGACCAGGCAATGTTGCCTGAGTGTCCGGAACCTACTGTCCCCTGCGGAAGTCCTCCCCCAGGATGTCCTGCATGTATGCGATGTGCTCCGCAAACGGGGCGAAGTGGGCAAGGAGCCGTTCCGCCCATTTCCCGCGCATATGGAGTTCCAGCGCTCGCTGGGGCTCCGGTTGTTGGAGTGGGGGTGGGTCATCTCGTGAGAACCACCTCAGTTGGTCCTGGCGATCCCATTCATTCTCCAGCGGGGAAAAGTTCTTGCTCGGCTTGCCATCCGCAGTCGCCATGAGGAGGAACCATGGGCTATCCCATAGGTCGGTCAGGTCCGCCGCGGACAGGGGCTGGGGAAGCCTGCCCGCCGCCGACGCCACCGGCCCGTTGAAGTAGTCCGTCGGGACCACTTGGTCGTCTTGCCCTACCGGAATGCCCGAGAGTTCCAGGAGCTGGGCGAAGCGGATTGCCGGCTCCCCGCCCAGCTTCCTCCCCTCCTCCTCCGTGCCATGGCGCAAGCACATCAGGACCAACAGCTCCCCGTCCGTCTGTCTCGGGGAGAAGGACTCATCCGCCAATGTGTCCCATAGGACCCTTGGAATGCGGTCCCAAAGACGTGTGTAAGGCGGGCGCAAAAGAAACTTGGTAGAAACCCTAGCCATGAGGAAAAAGGGGGGTTCGAGCCTCCTATCGAACGGCCGGGACCCAACCGCGGCACAATGCATGCATGTTCCAAACGCGCAGAATGCCGAGTGCAGATGGAGCAGGCAGGCCACACGCAGCCCGACAGGACCAAAAATCAACCCCCGGAAATCCCCAAAAGCACGGAGGGGGGAGACCAACCAGGCGGGGGATTCCCCAAAAAAAAACCCAGGGGACCTCAAGGAAACCAAGAGTCAGCCGCAGCCACTTTTCCGAACCGTGGCTGATATGGCCCGTCCTTGGGGCAGCCAATGCATGTGGCCTCCTGGTCGAGGCAATCAGGCTGTCGTGACGTGTTGAACAGGGGGAAAACAATGGTGAAAGAAGAACCCAAAAGGAGACACCCCAAACTCCTCCCCCCACCAGAGACGGGGCCAAAGGCACCCGAGTCCCGGCGGGAAGAGATCACACGACTCCACATCCAAAAGGGCTGTGAGACAAGACCTAGCGGCTCTCACCCTTCAAGATCGCCTCCTTTGCCACCGAGTGGATGGCCGCCAGCCCCGACTTCTCCGGGTTGCTCAAAATGACCGACCACAAGGCAGTGGAGACATCCCCCAGGCCATTCGAGGAGCTGAAGCGCATGCGGGGGGCTCCACCCTCTTGTAGAACTCCATCCTGTCACGGATCCACTGATTATATAGCTGGTTCGGGGGCTCGTCCATCACCAGCTGCAAGCATGTGGCCTTGTCTTTGTGCCACCCCGTGATCTGGAGCAGCCTGGTCCCCCCGCGGCTCGCCCTCCAGAAGCTCTTGCAAAATCTGCACATATAGCCCCCGGTGGTCTTGAACTTCTCCTTGCTCACCACTTCCCAGGCGCTGATGCTGGGCAGGACCAAGCCACACTCCACGGAGGCCCAAAACACATGCTTCGTCTCCTTAGAGAAGTGCTTGTTCATGTACTTCCGGCCCGCGACCGCCGTGACCGTGGCCGTGGTGATGGGCGGGTATCGCCTGGTGCCCTGGTCTGGTGTGCGGAGCGTGGTGTCTGCCCTTCCCAGGACCTTGGCCTTGGGGTCCGCCTCCTTGGCCGCTCCTCCCCCGGGGCCAGAGGCACCCAAGCGGGGGGAGCAACCCAGCTGCCGGATGAGGTGTTGGGAGTAACCCAACCTGTCGTACAAGGTTTGCGCCGCCTCCTGCGGGACCTGCTCGACCCAGTCGTGGACCACGTTGCAGCGCCAGTTGACCTTCACCTCCACCATCGAAGACTTGCTCAGGCCCGCCACCAACTTGGTGTAGACCGAGTCGAAGGCCTCCAGCGATGCCAGCGGGAGGGTGATCCGCTCGTCGCAGACCGCCCTGAAACGCAGCGCCTCCTTACTGTCATGGATGGGGGCCACTGGGATCTCCATCACGGGCAACGGGCAGTTGACGATGAAATTCTTGGCCGCCAAAAATGTCCCCATCTCCTTGAAGATGTAGCTCCATTCCTCCTTGCTGCGCGGCTTGGGGATGCCCAGGCTCTCCAGGAAGGGCACCGCCTCCTTCCTCATCTGGAGGATGTTGCCCATCCACTTGTCCGAGGTCGAGCCCTCCGCATTGCGGCCCCGGCGTTGCGTTTTCACGATCAACGGGAAAGTGGTCCAGGCCGAGTAGATGTACTGGAAAGTGAACCTGTGGGCGTACACCCCCGTCAGGCTCGGCAGGTCCCACGTTCTCGTCATCCCCACCACCTGCTCCGGCGCCGGGCGCTCGCCGTTCACCGCGCTCGGATCTCCAAGGCCGTGTAGATGACTGGGTCGATGTGGTCCTGCTCGCACGTGAGTGGGTGAGTCCTGCGCTCCAGGGCCAGGAGCTCCTCCGGCGTGAGCTTGAACTGCTGGTCAGCGCCCCGGGGGATCTCACCGCTTGCGTGCTTCTTCCAAATCCCCCCAAACATCCGGAGCTCTCCCTGGTGCCTCTTCATCGCCCAGAGGATCAAGGACAGCTTGCCCTCCTCCGAGCCCAGGTCTTGCTGTGACATTGGCTGGTCCCCCCAGGGCCTTGGAGGGGGCCGGTGCCACCAGATCGGGCATCTCCTCCAGCAGCGCCTCCTGGTGCCATGGGTTCTGCGACGCTCTGAGCATCCTGATGTAGGGGACATCAGCCAATGCCTGGCTGGCGTCAACGCCCTTCCCCTCCAGGTACTGGTCTCGCAGCTTGGCCTTGAACCTCCAGGTTGACCTTCCTGAGGGCACGGGCTCCCTCATTGGCCACCTCCTCTGACGGCAGGGCCTGCATGCCCTCCTGGAGAGGCGCCAGGATAGCCATCTCATTGTCCAGCATCTCCTCCGTGACCAACTCCTTGTGCCGCCGCCTGGCCGTCCTCCGGGGTCGGTTCCCGATGCTCTGTCAAGGCCTTATGCAGCTCCTCCTTCTTCCGGATCGCCTGGTCCACCTGGGGGTGGTAGAGCTGGAAGCTCTGAGCCTCCGCCTCCTTCAGGGACCGCTGCACTTTGACCTTGATCTCCTGGCATTCCCGGACCTTCAACGCCTCGTCGTCCGCCTCCATCTCCATGGACAGGATCTCCTGCCGGATGTCCACCCGCCTGTTAAGCGGGACCGCGTCTGCCATGGTGATCTCCTCTGCCGTGTCCGTTTTCGGAGGAGCTCTCCCCAGGACCGTGCCGTCCACCAAGTTGCGGTCGGCCTGTGCCCGGGTACCACCGGGGCCAGCGGCACCCAGGCTTCCCCCTTCCCGCTGCTGGATCCAGGTCGGCTTGCCCTCCACGATGAGCAGGTTGTAGGTGATAGAGGGTGCCTGGAAGGGGACGAACTCCTTGCCTGGGCAGACCCAGCACTGCTTGGCTGCCTCTGGCCACCCCGTGCCGCATGCCTTGCACATGAACTTGTAATCGGAATGGCCTGCATCGAGCCTGTGCATTCGCTGGGTGCCAATGCACGCCTTGTTCCTCTGGAACTGCGAGGCCCAGACCTCCTCATCTGGATCTTCATCGGGACATAGGCCTCCAGGATACGAATCACCAGGTCCTCCGTGAGATTCTTCCCGACAAACTTGTGGAACAGGGAGACCGCCTCCTCCACCGTGACGTCCCTCAGCAAAGTGGCCGCCGATGCCGGAAGGACCGGGAAGAGGTCTGGGAGGTCCACCAGCTTGAAGTAACCGGGTCGGCCCTCAACCGGCACCAAGGAGACCGGTTTGTTCACATGAGCCGTGGTCTTCTGGGAAGCCGCCACGAAACCCTTCAGCCTCTTCGTGGGTGGTGTCTGTGCCTCCTCCGGTGGAGTGGCCCGCTCCGTGACGTCCGCGTCTTCCATGTCCTTGTCATCCTCCTTGGCGGGGCCAGGGGCACCCAAGCCGGAAGTCGGTGTGGCAAAAGCCACACGGAGACGCTCCAGTGCACTGGAGAGGTCCTTCATCACATCGGTAGCCGAAGCCGACGGGGGGGCCTCGGGCTCGTCCAAAACCAGGCCGGCCGCCACTGCCGCCTCGCGTGTGCGAATTTCCTGGGCCTCCTGGCTGGCCATTTCAACCTCCTCCACGGTGAGCGTCTGGTCCTCAATCAGCTCAAAGGAGGTGGCCGAGGTTGCCGAGGAAGCCATTGCTTGATCGGGGTTAGTTCGAAAGTGTCCAAACTCAATTTTGTTCACACAAATTGGGTTCCAGGAACCCAGGGCAAAGCTTGAGCCAAAATGGCACATGCCATTATGGTCAAGCATTTCAAACACAGTTCATGTTTCCACATGCGTTTCAACATTAACAAATTTAAAGATCAACAGGGGTCCTCAATCTGCCAACCAACTCCAAGGCTGGTGTCCCTTTAAGACCAGCCAAAAAGGGTCCCCCAACAAAGACACACCCTGGTCTTGCCTTTGCGCCCCCACACGCCTATCTTTGATTGCGCTTCACCGGGTCCAGAAGGCGATGGCTTGGTCGCCCATTGCCCGATCGAAAGCAACCGAATTGTGGGTGCTTCCTTGCTGGTGCTCAGTAGCGAATCACCCCGAGAAATTGGGAATGAACCTAGGGTTGCCCTGACAGGAAACCACAAGAGATGGTTCTTGGGGGTCATTCCCTAATTCGCTTCTGAGGACCAGCAAGTTTCTCAGAAAAGGGGGCCCCAACATTGGGTTTTTTTCACTGATTTCTTGTTGCTTCACTGGACATAGCATCAAAAAGGCGGTCCCCACAAACTGACCATTGATTCTGCCCGGGTGCTTGGCCGTTGCATCCAACTCAGCAAAGTGTTCGCCTGCTTTCACCGAGAACCATGCGCATGAACACTTGCCCTGCCCAAAGCTTCAGTCACACCTCGCAGCCGATTCGAATCATCGCGAACGCAGGCCGAGCTCAGAAAGAGACGTCTTGCTGCGCAAGGGCCCGAGGCCGTCAGTGAGTCTCAGCCATGGATCGACCTGGTCGACCTCAGGTACCGAGAATGCATCGATCTGATTTTCCCATTATGTCCTGCATCTTGTTTAAGTTACATCAGTCAACTGGGGCCAAAGGAGATGCAAAAAGGGATATGGAAAAGCTCCTGGACAATTTTAACATCAGCCATAGAGTTGATGTGAATGCAACACACCGAGGCGTTTTGGAACCACTCATTGACAGGCAGCTACAGTCATGGCTGGAGTGTCCAGAATTGGGGAACCTTCCCCAACATGTCTGGCCAACCATGAGTTGGATGAAGCGCAGCCCTATCCCAGACCCCTAGTGGCCATGGGAAGAATCGATATAGACAAGGGTAACTTTTTGCTTGCTTGATTTTAAAGGAGACACCCTCCAACAAAAAAAAGGACGAAAGGAAATGTACCACAGGAGGTCCTGCTGCTTTTTTGAGACACTCGAGACTCGCATCGCTGTCCTGCCTCCTCTCGTAGCCGGGCGTTCAGCAGCCTCAGGTGGATAGCAAGCGCGTACAAAGGGCAAGGAATGGGGGATGTATCTCGAGTCCGAATCCTCTCCTTTTCATCCTTTCCGCAAGAACATGTCGATCCATTGATTTGGCAAGGAGACACTTTGGCTCGACGACTTAATTTGCCAGCGTTCTTAACGTCCAGTTGTCACTGCCCGAAGTCTGAAGGACCAAACACCTGAAGCGAGAGGGCACCTGGCGCATAGACGCTTCAGGCAAGACCATCTACGGCCCAGCACCATGTTGAGGAAACGCCGGCCAAAAAGCAGCACCCAAAGTCATGAAAATTCAGCAGCCGTTTCATAGAGTTGGCCACCCTTTTCACAATCACCCCCCCCCCCCCAACAAGGTGCTTCTGCTTTGGGACGCATCTCCTTGCCGAATCCAGAGCCAAGCACCGCACCGCAAGCGCAGCGGCATGTAGGCACGGCGGAGGGCTAGTAAACCCGCAGAGCCGTCCTGTAGCAACAAGCTGGACCACCCTCATTTGTTGGCAACCGTTGGCACATGCGGCCTATGAATTTCAATACAAACAGGCTGGTGGACCGAATACATTGGCCACCGGACGCTTCAGAGGGTGTTACTGTGGATGGACAAAATCCTGCACCACCTAAGAAGTACCTAAGAAGCCCTGGAATGAGGATTTCCCCTGTAAATGCTGACAAACAATTGTTTGTCACGGTTTCTGAGGTGGTGCAGGATTTCGTCCGTCCACAGTATGGGTGTTCCAAACACTAAACATCATAGGCGCAGGGGCGTCTTTTGTGGAGTTGGTACCCTTTGAGGGTTGTTCTTATGGCCGCCAACCATTAAAGTTCGGCAGCCAGCTCCCGAACCAGGCATCGAGTCCTGGAAGGCGTCTGCGCTGAGGATGATCATGACCTAGATGCATACTCAAGCCATACGTGAGTCTCAGCTTCCTCCTTGGTGGTTGGGTCCCAAGATAGCGTTTCAAGAGGCAACCTGGGGTTCACATCCCCAAACCACCAATTTAAACCTCCAATTAGGGGTAAGGTGGCTGGTTGAGATAGAAAGCAACTATCACGGCCCGCAGTCTCAACGCAGTCTGACATAAGGCAGGCGCGGAGCACACACGCTCACAGGACTGCAGTGGCGATGACATTGCCTGCATGCGCAAAGTCTTCGCTGGAAAATGGCAGAAAGCGACGCAGATCCGAATGTCTTGAAGTTGGCGTTCCTCCCTTCAAGCAACAAGCCTGTTGTAAGGGTGCCCGCAAAAAAGCACACACACACACACATCCGATATTCATCTTGCGTCAGGTGAGCAAAAACCCTGGCCGGGCGATTCAAGCGCAGCGGCCATCCGTTCCGAGGCCTCGTAGCCAACTGATACGCCGCCTCAAATCCGGCAGCTCGGGCGACATGGGGCGACATGTCGCTTCTCCAGTGCCATGGTCAAAAGTCCTGTGGGCCATGGCTCCTTAGCAGGAACCTTTACAACGATTGTCCAAGCTCCCCATCAAGTTGTGCATGACCCTGTCAAGTGGGGTGCTTTGACCAAGGCAAATGTCTCTTTTTCCAGGGAAATGCAGGGTGGGTGGACAAATCAATCCCAATGTCCACCGGAAAAGGGGGGGGCCCTTGGATGTCTAAGCGGCTAAACCCCCGAGGCCCGCACGGAGATGCGCCGGCCACAGCTCATCCGCCAGCAGGGCCTTCCAAAGTCTCAGCGCCAATGACCTGGCCCCGTGAGCCCCGATTTCTGGGGACGACCTCGCAAAAACCCGGCAGAACCCAGCAAACCCGTCTTCTCTCAAAGCCAAAGTTGGATCAACTTGATGTAACAAGCTCGGGACCGCGCTGAAAGAGAAGATCTTAGTTCCTATGCACACATCTCCATGCGTGAGAGGCAGCAACGTGAATGCCCGCAATGCACCATCCTGTCTTGATCTCAAAATTGTTAACATGACGGGGCCAGACAAGCACGCGTTTTGCTTTTCCTTCGACTCACCCTTGAAAAGGAGTCCTTCTTAAGCCCCTCCCGTCCAGCAACCTTCGAGTGGAAGTCTCGTGGCATGTCGTGCGCTCACAAACGGCGGCTGCAGCCTCAAGGCACTTCGGTGCACCCGGGGCAGTGTGGCCAAAACTGGAACCGCGAGGAAGAGCTGCTTTCAGTCAATCCGGTGCAGAGGTCCCTGCCCATGACTCTACATGCTGCAGCTCGTGAACCTGGAAAGTATGATGCTTGAGCTCTGTCTTTGTCACGCATTTGTGTGTGTGTGTGTCACACATCGCCTTGCCTCGACCACTTGTATTTGTCTTCCGCAGCGTCGGTTTCCTTTGAGCGAGTCATACGTCCATTGCCCCTATTTGTTCACCATGCGTTTGTGCCAGCTCCATCGCAGGCGACTCTTGAGCGAACCAAATTCTCTCGGACACCCCGCCCAGTTTGGGCTTTTTTCCGCACTGGACTGGACTTGGGAGTGGACTGGGCCTGGGCTGCGCTCCGAGATCCCGGGCCATGAGCCCCAGAAGCCCCGCCGGCTTCGCCAGGGCGAGGGCGGCCCTCCACTGGCCTAGAGCTTTCCAAAAGCTCCCTCTTTCTGAGACGCGCAGGTCCCAAGCTTGCGAACTGATTTGTTGCTTTCTGGCTCTCCTTCCGTCTTTCTTCATGGTTCTGCGTTTCCTTTTGTGCCTTCTTTCGCTCTTTCTTCCTGCCTTGCTTCCTTTTCAATAGTTATTGTTTTATTGCTTTCTGTTTTCCGTTCTTGATTTCACTATATAATGAATTTATATATTTATATATATGTTTCTTTCTCTCTTTTTTTCTTTCGGACTTTGCTTCTTTCTTTCTTCGTTGTTTCTTTCTTTCTTTATTTTTTCCTCATTTCATTTCATTTCCTTTCCTTTCCTTTCCTTCTTTCTTTCCTTCCTTCCTTCCTTCCTTCCTTCCTTCCTTCTTTCTTTCTTTCTTTCTTTCTTTCTTTTCTCCTTCTCTTTCCTTTCCCTTCCTTTCCTTTTCTTTCTTTCTTTCTTCTCTTTCTTCTCTTTCTTCTCTTTCCTTCTTTCCTTCCTTCCTTCTTTCTTTCCTTCTTTCTTTCTTTCTTTCTTTCTTTCTTTCTTTCTTTCTTTTCTCCTTCTCTTTCCTTTCCCTTCCTTTCCTTTTCTTTCTTTCTTTCTTCTCTTTCTTCTCTTTCTTCTCTTTCCTTCTTTCCTTTTTTCCTTTTTTTACTTTCCTTCTTTCTTTCTTTCTTTCTTGTTTATTTTCTTTCTTTTAGTTGTTTTCTCTTCTTTCCGGTCTTCCAATCTCTTGGATGGTTTTCAATACTTTGCCCATTGATGGATTGGTTGTGTGGATAGTTTCAATGATGGTGGTTGCTTGGAAACCTCCGAGTGTGTTCATCTGCTCGTGGCTTAGCATTGCCATTGGGTCGTCCAATACTGATTGCTGGGTTTTTCAAAAGACAAAACCTTCCATTGCGCGCTTGCAAAAATCCCAACCGGGGGTGTCCCCAGCATTGGGGTGCCCAAACCGTCCAAAAAGGGGCGATCCCGATTTTAGGTTTGAGAGCACAAACACGTAAAACAAAACACAAAAATGGCTGGTTTACTCATATGGCTTCCAAGCATAATAATTCAGAAACCGGAAGGAATTCCCAAGCGTGGGTCAGTCCTCACAGGTGAGCTGGCTATACGCCCAACTACCAATTGAAGACCTGTGACAAGGCCCCAAAATCTCCCCCAGAAGTGCACTTCACAAACCATTTGATAACCGTTGCCGGGTCTGGCGGAAATTTCCGGTTACTGAAGCGCCGGCGGGCTCGCTGGCAGGCGTCCACGGTTGCGCTCGCTGCCGCGATGGGCAGCCTGGAGAACGCAATCGAAGCCCCAAGGGGCTAGTAACGAGCAGAGGGGAGCGGGGGTTAAAGAAACCCCAGAGGGGTGTTCCCTACGGTTCTATTTCAAATATACACTCTTTCGGGAAAGTGTCTACTGTTCATGCTACTAGCTTTTGGTGAAAAATCATGACCAGCTGATGGCAAACATCGTTCCCGTGGGCTGGTGGTAACAAACGTCCCCACTGACCTGGGCATTACACTCCTGCAGATTAATAACACAGCCGTCGTTCATGAAATCCCCTTTTTGGGGTACCCACTGAGTTTCCATGTTAATCTGCAAATGTTACCATTATTCCAAAAGCTGAATTCAGGGATCCCAAGTAAAAAAAGACCTTTATCATGAGAAGCTCGTTATACCTCCAGGTGAGCTTGCTATAAAATAGGAAAATGTTGATTTGCAGGAGAGTAACAGCTCTTGGCAGCCGCACCTCGGATGGCTGTCCGCCAGCGCCAGCGCTGCCTCCCAGCGCGCAGTCGCGGCAGCGGCGCTGCAGGCGGCGCTTAAGGCCTGAGCCGAGTTCGCTCCAAACAAGCGAGGTTTCAGGGTTTAGGGTCCTCCATACTTGGTGTTTCTGGTAATGCTTGGCTCCAAACAGGCTGGAAAACATGGTCGTTTCTGTTTGGGCCGGGGGTGGAGGGGGGGTTCAAAATCAGAGGCCAGTTTTGAAACCCTTTTGCCATTTTGCGCCACCTGACAAGCGTGACAAGCCCCCAAATGAGGCCCCAAAGAAAATGCTTGCGCGTGTGCGCGCATGCGTGCCGTTGCGGTGCTGTGCGGTGCGGCGCCATCCCGGGCCGGGCTGGGCCGCTCCGTGCCGTGCTGTGCCACGCCGCGCCGCGCCAGTGCCTGGGTGTGTGTGTGGGTGTCTCTTTGTGTGTGTGTGTGTGCGTGTATTTCTGAGTTTAGGTGTTTGCATGCTTGCGTCACTGCTCACGATTGCGAGTGAGCGCGCGTGTGAGTGCGTGCGTATACTGATGCGTGCGTGCGCGCGCGCATGCGTGTGCGCGGGCCTGTGCGTGCGCGTGTGCAAGTGCGTGCAAGCGCGCATGCGAGTGCGCGGGCGGGCGGGCGGGCGAGCGGGCGCGCGGGCGCGCGGGCGGGCGGGTGGGAGGGCGTACGTGTGTGCGTGCGTGAGTGTGTGTGTGTGTGTGATGTGTGTGTGTGTGTGTGTGTGATGTGTGTGTGTGGTGTGGTGTGTGTGTGTGTTGGTATGTGTGTGTGTGCGGGTTTGTTGGTGTGTTGGTATGTTGCTGTGCTAGTGTGTTGGCCTGTTGGTGTGTGTGTGTGTGTTGGTGTGTGTGTGTGTGTGCTGGTGTGTGTGTGTGTTGGTGTGTGTGTGTGTGTCCTGGCGTGTGTGTGTGTGTGATGGTGTGTGTGTGTGTTGGTGTTGGTGTTGGTGTTGGTGTTGGTGTTGGTGTTGGTGTTGGTGTTGGTGTTGGTGTGTGCGTGTGCGTGTGCGTGTGCGTGTGCGTGTGCGTGTGCGTGTGCGTGTGCGTGTGCGTGTGCGTGTGCGTGTGCGTGCGCGGGTGCGCGTGTGTGTGTGTGTGTGTGTCTCTGTGTGTGTGTGTGTGTGTCTGTGTGTGTGTGTCTGTGTGTGTGTGTGTCTGTGTGTGTGTGTCTGTGTGTGTGTGCGTGCACGTTCGCGTGTGCGTGCGCGTGTGCGTGTGAGTGTGCGTGCGCGAGTGCGCGTGCGGGTGCGCGGGTGCGCTTGTGCGCGGGTGCGCCTGTGCGCGTGCGAGCGTGCGAGCGTGCACGCATGTGGGCGTTTGCGCGTGTGCGCGTGTGCGCTTTTCGCGTGCGCACGTGTGTGCATGTGTGAGTGCGTGCGCGTGCGCGTAAGCGTGTGCGTGTGCGTGCGCGTGTGCGTGTGCGTGTGTGTGCGTGTGCGTATGCGTGTGCGTGCGCGTGCGTGCGCGTGTGCGTGTGCGTGTGCGTGTGCGTGTGTCGGTGTGTCCGTGTGTCCGTGTGTGTGTGTGTGTGGGTGTGTGTGTGTGCGTGTGTCCGTGTGTCTGTGTAGGTGTGTGTGTGTGTGTTAGCGTGTGCCTGCGCGTGCGCGTGCGCGTGCGCGTGCGCGTGCGCGTGCGCGTGCGCGCGTGCGCGAGCGGTGCGCGCGTGCACGCGTGCGGTGCGTGCGTGCGGTGCGTGCGTGCGCGCATGCGCGTGTGCGCGCGTGCGCGCGCACACTTGCGCGCGCGCGCGTGTGTGGTGTGTGTGTTGGTGTGTTGGTGTGTTGGTGTGTTGGTGTGTTGGTGTGTTGGTGTGTTGGTGTGTTGGTGTGTTGGTTTGTTGGTGTGTTGGTGTGTTAGTGTGTTAGTGTGTTAGTGTGTTAGCGTGTTAGTGTGTTAGTTTGTTAGTGTGTTAGTGTGTTAGTGTGTTAGTGTGTTAGTGTGTTAGTGCGTTAGCGTGTTAGTGTGTTAGTGTGTTAGTGCGTTAGTCGGTTAGTGTGTTAGTGTGTTGGTGCGTTGGTGCGTTGGTGCGTTGGTGCGTGTGGGTGTGTGTGGGTGTTAGTGAGTGTGTGTGTGTGTTAGTGTGTTAGTGTATTAGTCTGTTAGTGTGCTAGTCTGTTCGTGTGTTAGCGTGTTCGCGTGCTAGCGTTTTTGCGTGTTAGCGAGTGAGCGTGCTAGCTTTTTTGCGTGTTAGCGAGTAAGCTGTGTGTTAGCTTGTTGGCGTGTTAGTGTGCTTAGCGTGTTAGCGTGTTATCGCGTTAGCGTGTTGGTGTGTGTCTCTGTGTGTGTCTCTGTGTGTGTCTCTGTGTGTGTGTGTGTGTGTGTGTGTGTGTGTGTGTGTGTGGGTGTCTGTCTGTGTCTGAGTTTGTGTCTGTGTTTGTCTGTGTGTGTGTCTGCGTGTCTCAGTGTCTGTCTGTCTCTGTCTGTCTGTCTGTCTGTCTGTCTGTCTGTCTGTCTGTCTGTGTCTGTCTGTCTGTCTGTCTGTCTGTCTGTCTGTCTGTCTGTCTGTCTGTCTGTCTGTGTCTGTCTGTGTCTGAGTTTGTGTCTGTGTTTGTGTCTGTGTGTCTGCGTGTTCTTGTGCTTGTGTTTGCGCTTGTGTTTGTGTTTGTGCCTGTGCGAGTGTGTGGGTGTGGTGGGTGGGTGGGTGGGTGGGTGGGTGGGTGGGTGGGTGGGTGGGTGGGTGGGTGGGTGGGTGGGTGGGTGGGTGGGTGGGTGGGTGGGTGGGTGGGTGGGTGGGTGGGTGGGGGGGTGGGGGGTGGTGGTGTGGGTGGGTGGGTGGGTGGGTGGGTGGGTGGGTGGGTGGGTGGGTGGGTGGGTGGGTGGGTGGGTGGGTGGGTGGGTGGGGGTGGGTGGGTGGTGGGTGGGTGGGTGGGGTGGGTGGGGGTGGGTGGGTGGGTGGGTGGGTGGGTGGGTGGGTGGGTGGGTGGGTGGGTGGGTGGGTGGGTGGGTGGGTGGGTGGGTGGGTGGGTGGGTGCGTGGGTGCGTGGGTGCGTGGGTGCGTGGTGCGTGGGTGTGAAGTGTTTTCCTTTCTAGAGTTTGTTTTACGGGAGGCCAAAGGAAAAGCACCAAATTGGGTGTTCCGCCATTTTGAAACATACCCACAACGTGCCAAATGTCTAGGACTGGTTGTTAATTGTACCATGTTTCTTCAGCTGCAGCTTGTTACAGTATCGCCTTTCTTCCTTCCCCATCAACAAAGAAACCTGAGTTTTTACCCACACCGGGCGCTAAAGGTGGGACCCAAACCTTGTAAACAATCAAAAGGGCGGCTCTTCATCTACCCTGGCTTCGAGAATCGCCGACCTGAGGCACAACACCGTGCCCGCAAGTCCTAGGCGCCAAGCCGCTTGAGTTTTCTAGGCGCAATCGACTCAGGTCCTGCCACTTAAGTTTTTGACCACCCCCCAGCAGCTAGAAGTCTCCTCCAAGCCTTAAGCCCCAGCTTTCAGACACGGCGCCATGTCATCGAAGGGCTGCTGCAGCTGCGACTCCTGGGCGCTCATGCACTATTGTTGCTCATGTTTGATACTACTTTCATTTTTATTCATTTTCTTATTTGGAAAAAGAAAACGACACACAAAACAACCTGGAATGTCTCATCGGGACCTATCGAGACCCTGTCAATGCACGGACCCCTTCTTGTCCTCCTCTTGTTCATAGCTTGCAAGGGAATGCGCACAAATGAAAGCCATCGGGAGCCGAGACAATCCCGGAGGATTGAAAAATCTCACCAACTTCAGCCCAGATGCCCAGATGCTATGGAAGGCCAGCTGCCAGCGCAAGCCTATGGGCGACGGTGCGCCACTTGCGAGCATATCAGCCTCTGTGGTTGCCCTGGCCTTGTGACGTGGAAATGTGTCAGAAGCAGTCAGACCCCTCCAGGTGGCAACGAGGGTGTCCGCTTTCCGTGTAAGACCTGCCTTTAAACTGGCTCTAGCACGAGTAGAGGCCCGCCAAGGAGGAAGTAAGACCACAAAGGCATTTGGAAGACGCACACCAAGGAAGCCACGCCAATGCAACTAATTAGGCACGAAAAGAAAGCAAGAAAGCAAAGCAAAGCAAGGCAAAGCCAAGCCAAGCCAAGCCAAGCAGGCATGCAGGCAAGGCAAGGCAGGCAGGCAAACAAACAAGCTGGCTAGCTTGCAAGCAAGCTTGCTTACGAGCCAACCAAAAAAGACCGAAACACAACACAAAACAAACCAAAAGAATGAATAACATAATATCACAAACAAGCACTCAAACGCGACGAATTTAGACCAAGGCGTCAACCTTCAACCCCAAGGACTTAAATCTTCAATTGAATTTGCAAAGCTGCTGGATGCTACATAGGGGGGTCTGGAAAAAGAGGAAAAAGCACATAGACAACCTAGACCCTCCTCTTTTGGTTGCGCCTTGGGTACATAATCTTTGGTCTATTTCGCCCAAGGCGCTGCGCCCCGCCGCGCGCACGTGTGCGGCGCCCAAAGCGAGAGCGCCTTCGGTGAGGGAAACCGCGGGTTTTTGCGGCGGACGCTCCCGGAAAAAACGAGCTGAAAAGGGGAAGTCTGAGAATGGGCGTTCTCAAAGCACCCCAAAATGCCCATTTCGTGGGCCAAAAATGCTTGGTTCCTTTTAAGATCTTTAAAAAAAAAAAAAAAAAATCCCAACCAACATGTGCCCACAAAAATGGGCCTTGTAAGCTCCTTCCTTTCAAATCCCCAAAACGGGCCCACAAGAATGGGCTTGCTGGGCTTGGTGGCTTGTGATACTTGCCGAGCATCGCAGTTTTCAGAGAAGACTGGGGAGGAGGGTGGTGAGAGGGGTGGTTCTCAAATGGTGGCCTCAAATGGTTGGTTTTCTGGTCTCCTTAGCTTCGTCATAAGTCAGGACCACAAGACACCAACGATGTGGACAAGATCCTGGTTTCGACATACACCTTGAAGAGCAGGGTTCTTATTTGACATAAGGGCCCAGTCGGCCGATTGAGTCCGGGGGGCGTCCAACTAGACACAATTACACAAAGGCAAGAAGGCTCAAATTCCAAAACACCAAGTCACCAATCAAGGGCTGGCTGATAAGTTGCGCAGTGGCTGCGTGATCCAAAAGAAAATCGAGCAACTCAGGGAGTGAACGACAGGTCTCAGGGTGTTTTCCCCATAGAGGAGCTTGTACCCACCGAGTTTTTCCAGGGCTCAGTTTTTTCCATGGCGAGGGCTCTCGGGTTCGGAGCCTGGCAGTGGAATCTGAGAAAAAGGCGGCGCCATCTCGCGGTGTGTCCAAAAACTGTGAACTGCTGTTGCCTGGTTGGGGAGAAAGAAACAAAGGTGAATCAAACGTGTGTTGGCGGTCAATTTCTAGGAAAGGGGGGATTCCAGTCCCCGTTTCCTGACATTCTGGTGGCTTGGTCAACTAGCACCCTGAAATAAAGCTTTAATATAGGAATCTCTTTGGCATTCGGCAGCCATTTGGACATCCTGGTGTGTCAAGGCTGTGGCATCTATGGGATTTTTCCCAACAACTTGTCAAGCAAAGCTGGTCTCGAGGCCCTAAATTATACCCTTTGTCCTGTGGCAGCTCGCTCTGAAGCAAAGCTCATCCTCGGGCCCCGGCCCGGCGCATGCCTGGTCCGTGGAACCGCGAAGACCTCCATTAGGGGAACCGCAGATCAATAAACCCCTGCTTGATTTATAGCACGGGGCAACTGAGTCAACATTGTATAAGGGACGCTCTTTGTGGAGTCCCTTTGCACTCCCAACTTCTGGTGAAATTCCGCTTGAAGCCAACCCGAAAGCGCCCCAACTGAAAATTTCGGGGAAGCCAACTAAACACAATTCAGTTCCGCCGGAAAGGGTCCCCCACCCCGCAAAAAGGAGGTGCCAACTCAAAACAATACATGAAGCTGGACCTTCCCGTCGTGGGCTTTTGTGCAGAACCTCACAAAGAGTATTTACCACCTCGGGAGAAAGCAAAAACATGCTCGGAGGTCCCTTTAAGAGCGAGATGGTCCAAACCAGCAGCCCCAGAACGCCAACTCAACGTCAGGTTCCATGTTATACAATTGGTGGGAGGGTAAAACATATTCTTGGTGGCTTTCTGATCCCCTGCTAAAAGTGGACAACTTTTAGTGGTTCAATAGGGAAAACCCCATTCGTGGGCAAAAAGTTCAAGGCCTAACCTGGGCGTGGCTCAAAAAATTGAAGAGCCGGGGTTACGGTCGCTTTAGTCTTTCCACGCACCAAGGTGCCATTTTGGTACCATTTTTTTGAACCACAGCCACATCCCTTGGCAAAATGCGCCAATGGAGGCGTTCCCTTCCGCTTCGCCTTTGCAGCATGGCCATGGCCTGCTGCCACTGGGAGGCCTGGCGGTATCTCGGAAGGACTTCGCACCCAACCCTCCGCCCCGTTTTGGTCAAGCAACCCAAAAGGGTGAAGAGAAACACTCCGCCCCGCTGAATTTGGACCACGCCTTCAATAGAAACCGTTTTTAGGTTTCTAATGAAACAAACGTTTTGATCTCGGCCCACTCTTCCACATATGGGTATGGGTCAAAATGAAATCACCAGAAAAAGACCGCTGGTTTGAGTCTTTGGTTCCAGTTGCCAGGGTTCCTTGCCCTCCCGTCGAACATGGACGTGCACATCGCGCCTTCTCCGCGGCCCCCAAGGCGGTGGCGAGGCTGGCGGGGTCATGCGGCACCCTGACGGGGCGGCTGGAGCAAAATGCGTTGAAACAACTACCCCCTGGACCCCCTGGACCCCGTAAAAGGGAAAGATTCAGTAAACTGTGTTTGAACAACTATGCCTGAAGGGACACATTTTGGCACATCAAAAAGAGGCTCTTTACAGAGTGGTTTGAACTTGCCGAAACAACTTCTTGGCCCCACCGGGCGCAACTGTCAGAGCCGTGGTTTGCAGCAAAGGTGCGAACATGCTGCTGAGAAGTGTGTGACAACATGGCAAAACACCCGCAGAATCACCCAGCCATTTCTGCCTCGTCCCTATGGCTTCCTTGCCAAAGCGGATGAACCATGCTTCTCATTTCACCTGCCTTTCAGCATCTGTCCCTGGCCTTGATATCCCCATATGCACGGTTGCTGCCTCCAGCCTCCAAATGGCTGAGTTTAGATGGGTTTGTCAAAAATTGGAGCCAGGGCTCTGAGCGAATCCGGACATGTTGCCCCTCTTGGAGCGTTGTTGTTTGCCGAAAACCGGCATCGAGCAAGCGGCCTGCTGTCGGCCAACAGCCCAACATGCGCAGCGGCTAAATCAACACATCTGCAGCTGCGGTGCCCATAGCCACCCTAAGAACCAGCCATCAGTGAGCTATACGTATGGCGAGCTCAAGCCTGGACGGTCACCTCTGGGCTCCCGAGATTTCCCCACCATCCTGCCCAAAGGATTCCACTTTCTCCCCAAGAAACGCGGTGATTCAAATCATACTGGAGAACATAGGCACTGCGCCTGGAAGCAAGCTGCAGCGCGAGCTCCCATGCGAGCCCCTTCCTAAGTCCACCAAGGGATGTCCCATGGGGATGTTCAAGACTCCAACGAGAAACCCGGCGCTGAGCAACTGATTTGAGGCCCACTCATTGACTCATTGCAATGGCATGATCCGATGAGCGCGACTAGCAACCTGAGAAGCGTTGGACATCCGAACTGTGCGCACACAAACGAAAATCACACACTGCCACATGCACACACACATACACACGGGCTCGAAGTGCACAAGTTCACGGGTGAGGACACAGATGAGCAGCGCAAAACTATATTCGGGTTCTGCCATGTCATGGAGTCTGTCTAGGTCCCATCAACATTGAGTGCCCGCATCCCCCATCCACTTTGCTCGTTTGGGGCCAACAAACTAGACGCCGGCAGCAGGGATGAGGTGCCGGAAACAGTGGCAAGCGGCTCGCAGGCACTGATGGACCTCAGGCTGCTGAAAATATGGAGTTCCCACAAGAGGGCGGCAATCTCGTGAGCCCGCTTTCTTCCTAGGAGGTCGAGTGCTTTGGGCAACCGAGCTGATTTTTTCACCAGGGCCCTTTTTGCATGTTCAGTCCCTCTAAGTCGATGCTGTCCAGTCGACTTCGCCAGTTAAAGGTTGTTTCGTATCTCCTTGGTGTCCCTTGAGCACATTGCGCGAGCCAAGATGAGTCCAACGAGCGTCGAGGAGGGACATGGGGCCTGCATAGACGGGGAAGCTCCCGTTTCGCAAGCATCCCATTTCGAGAGGGAACGCGGCACCTACACCGGAGATGAAAAACAGGCTTTGCCCTAGCGTCCTTTTCAGGAAAACAACAAGAGTTATCGGCAGATTGAAGCGAGTGCAACCCATCGATTTTCAAGCTAAAGGACTTCCACGGCTTTTGCCCTCCTAACCCAGACCCCCGTTAGGAGTCTTGGGAGCATCAGCTTCCCGCTCGGACGAGGCACACGGCCGTGGCAATGAGATCCTGCGCGGGCGCTCGAAGCACCTGGTGCGTGAGCAGCAGGGCCCGGCGCCACTGCAGGCTCTTCTCGCAGGCGCTGGCCGCTGCGTTGAAGGAGACCTGGATGGGGAAAGAAAAACGGCGGCTCTTCTAGGGTTACCTTCCATTTCCATTCTTCCCAGGGATCCTTCTTTTCAGGAAACCAGCAAAACCCCAGGGGGAATGGCCGGCTTTTGGAAGGAACGATGGTTGAAAAGAATGGGGAATCAACTCCTAGAGCTATGAGTTTTGACAGGGAGCCACCTCAAAAGTGATTGGTGGACATGACTCCCCACCCAAATGGTGTCCACCAAAGGGTCCCCAAGTAAGATTCATAGCCAACGAGCACTTCACAACCTTTGGTATGGGCTACTAAAAATGAGCAGAACAAGAAAACAAGCAAACAAGAATCCTGCCAAGCACAGTGAAGAAAAGGCAGGCTGGTGGGAAAAGTCATGCATCATGGGGCAAGCCAACAAATTTGTTCAATTCAACAAGCCTGCTTGGAACCCTCCATGGCCGCCGGATTGGCTAGCTGAACACAGCTGTCGGGAAAATCAAGCAACCAGCCAACCGACAACCAATTGAACCAAACCAGACGACCCCACATGCCCCACATGGCGCCTGCGTAAGCTGCAGTCGCCGTCGGGCGCTCCGCTGCAGCAGCGCCAGAGCCTCCGGCCACTTGCCTGAGGCTGGGTGTTCTCCCCGGTGACCCGGCACGAAGGACATGCCAGGTCTGTGGGTTGATTTGAAGGCACCTAAACACCAAGGAACACAGGCCGGTGGTTTCTACAGGCTGGTTGGTGTTGAAGGGCCTCTGAAAAGAAAGAAAGACAAAGGAGACCCTCGTGGGCACAAAAGGCGTGCCACTGATCTTGTGCTTTGAAGCCGAACCAAGCCCCTGCCAAAAGATGAAGGCAACCCCGTACTCAACAAAAAGACGCCCTTTCTGTGTTTGAAGGGAACTCCTATCCGCCCGAAAAAGGACAGCCCGTTGCGTTGTTGAAGGGAAACCTAGTTTCATGTTTCATGCATCTTCACAAGCACCCCCAAAGTGGTAGGTTAAGGGAAACAGACCTTTTTTTTTCTCTGACCTTGATCACCACTAGAAACAGTCAAAATCATGGGCTCGGCTACAGATTCTGATTTACTGATTGAAAGCCATATCAAGGGGAACCATTAACGTAGCAGTAAGTGTTCGTCGGATTTCGTTTGGCATGTGTGAAAACAGGGGAACCTCAAAACAGGTGTTGGTTTTCTTGTAAGAATACCCTCAAAAAAACACAAACACAAATACAAGTAAACCAAAACAAAACACAACAAAACAAACAAACAAGCAAACCAACAGGCCAACAAACAAACAAACACACAATCGCACAAACGCGGAAACAAACAAACAAACCAAGCAAACAAGCAAACAAGCAAGCAAAAGCAAGCAAGCAAGCAAACAAACAAACAAACAAACAAGCAAGCACACAAACAAGCAACCAAACAAGCAAGCACACAACCAAGGAAACCAACAAACAAACCAACAAACAAACCAAGCAAGCAAGCAAGCAAGCAAGCAAGCAAGCAAGCAAACAAGCAAGCAAGCAAGCAAACAAAAACACACAAGCAAGCAAGCAAGCAAGCAAGCAAACAAAAACACACAAGCAAGCAAGCAAGCAAGCAAGCAAGCAAGCAAGCAAGCAAGCAAGCCAGCAAGCCAGCAAGCCAGCAAGCCAGCAAGCCAGCAAGCCAGCAAGCCAGCAAGCCAGCAAGCCAGCAAGCCAGCAAGCCAGCAAGCCAGCAAGCCAGCAAGCCAGCCAGCCAGCCAGCCCAGCCCAGCCAAGCATGCAAGCAAGCAAGCCCAGCCAGCCAAGCAAGCAAGAAGCAAGGCAAGCAAGGCAAGGCAAGCAAGCAAGCCAAGCAAGCAAGCAAGCAAGCAAGCAAGCAAACACACAAACACTCAAAGACTCAAACACTCAAACACACGCACACAAATAAACGAACACCCAGGCACCCTCGCAGGACCATCGGCTGAGTCCCGCGCGGCCCTTCTCGAAGGCGCTGAGCAATCCGTTCACGCTCAGAACGCTGATCTTCACCCGGTCCTGTTGGGTTTGTCTCAAAGTAGTTTGGTCTCCTGTTGGTCTCGCTGCAAACCAGCCCCAGAAATACCGCCGCCTTTTACCAACGGAAGTGGAGAGGAGATTTCAGATGGACGCCTTCCAAAAGCTGACATGGTCCACTTCTATGATTGCTGTAAGAGAGTAAGATGAACAAACGATAGACTGCGAAGGAGCTTGGTTGATCCTGAATCATCCTCAAGTGGGAACGCGCCTTTCTGGTGCGCTGCTTTCGTGGCTTTCTGGTTTTCTGGTTTCCTGGCTTCCCAGCTTCCTGGCTTTCAGGCTTCTCGGTTTCCTGGTGTTCTGGTTTCTGGTTTTCCGGTTCTCCGATTTTCTGGTTTTGCGGTTTCTTGGTTTCCGGGTTCTTGGTTTTTCCCGTTTTCTGGTTTTCTGTTGTCTGGTTGAACCTGGTTGTTGTTGGTTTTCTGGTTTTCCGGTTTCCTGGCTTTCGGGCTTTCTGGATGTCTAAATTTTCTGTTTTTTTGGTGGTTGTTTGGTTTCCTTGTGTTTTTGGTGTTTTCTGGTGTTGCGGTTGTCTTGCTTTCCTGGTTTTCTTGCTTTCTCGGTTTTCTTGGTTTTGTGGTTTTCCTAGTTTCCTATTTTCCGGTTTTCTGGTTTTGGGTGTGTTGGGATTTGTGGCTTTTCGCGGTTTCTTGTTTCTTAGTTCTCTAGCTTTCCGGTTTTCTGGTTTTGTGGTACTTGTCTTCCCTGGTTTCGGGTGTCTTGGGTTTTCAGTCTTTCCGGGTTTTCTGGTTTTATGTGTTTCTTGTTTTCTGGTTTTCCGGCTGCCTGGTCTTTAGGTTCTCCGTAGTCCCGGTTTTCAGGTTTTCCAGTGTCTTGATTTCCTTGCTATCTTTTTCTCACTGATTTCCGGCTTCCTGCATTCAGGGTGTCCTGGTTTTCCTTTTTCTGCGGTTTTCGAGTTTTCCGATGTGGCAAAGACCAACTTTTTGGGGGGAGCCGCAGAATTTACTATAACAATTTGCATCACGACTGCGAAACGTCGCCTCATTTTTTCGGGCTGCTCAAAGGACGGACAGTCTAGTCTATTTCAAAACTAACCCCCACGGTCAGAGGCTTGCGGACTATGACGGATTCGAGTATGTGGCTTGCGCGAGTCCAGCAGATGGCTTTGACACCAATATGCAGGGAGACTTTCCGCCAGAGCAAGGAAGGGTTTTTTCTCCATGTCCTTTTCGAGAGAGCCCTTGACACGTTGCCCCTCATGCGCTGCATCGCCACCTCCACGCTGTGTTAGCTGGCCACATGCACGCGGTAGTGCAGCCGGCCTTTGCGCTAGAGGGGTTTCCCTGTGGAGTTGTGAAGCACTTGTGGCTATGGCCCACTCTGATATCAGCATAGTGCTTTCCTTCAGACATAACGCCTTCCAGTTCACAAAACAAATTCCGCAGAAGGGATCGATAGTGTCCACTAGTTGCTTGTGGAATGGGGACTTCGTTTGTCTCAAAAGATCGGCCAGCATGTGCATGACATATAGGTATCCGGCTGTGCGCCTTTTGAGGCGCACAATGTTTTTAACAAAGGAGAGAGGTCACCACAAATCACACCTCCAGACAACACCTTGAATGACGACAACTGCGCCGATCGCTGGGTTTGTGGGATGGACTTGAAAGAACGTGAAGGTGGCACAGCCAAAAGCTTGAACGCCGCGTTTGCTGCTGTTGCAGATGGTGGTGCGCACATTCGAAACGCCACATAAGATTTGAAGACTGAGGTTAATGCGCCCACACGGTGAGCGATCAGTCTTATGATTGTGGCCAGGGTGCTCGGAATTCATTAGCTCTCCACCGCGCAGATGTTGCGCAACATTTTATGCCATCAAAACCAGATAAAATGACTGAACAAAGCTGATTGACGGAAACTGCTCGTGGGCGTAATCCGCTATAGCACAGGTTTGGTGCCAGACGATGCTGCCGCTGCACCTGCTTTGCTGCACGTCCGGCTGACGACACGGACTCCAGCAATCAAGCGCTCGATCGCCGATTTCCTTGACGGTCTTATCTGCCATGCCTTGCCACGTTGGCGCATGCCTGTCAGCTTTGTCGATTGGAGGGAGCCCAGCATGTCGTATGTGTAGGCGTTGGGTTGCCAACACATACGATTTGAGCGTCATGGGACCTGGGCTTCACTCTGCCGACATGGTGTTCTGCACAGGCCTCAGTCGTCATGTGGGGGCCGCTCTGGTAGAGCAAACAACGCGTCGTGACTCCAAACACAAATCCGGAGTACTGCGCGCCTCGCCGCTCAAAAGCCTTCCACAGATTCATCAAGACCATGTAGTGGCCTGTGAGGGCCAGCTCACATAAAGTCTCAGGTCAAACACGGCAGCAGCTAGCCATGTGCCACACGTAAGTCCTACCATGAGAGCAAACTGCAAGGAGCCCAAGTCGTCCCACACGTTGTTGAAGACTGATGGGGCAAGGACATATGCGCGCTCTCTATCGGATCGGTTGTCCTTGCCGCTGTAGCAATAAGCCGGCCAGCAGCGCCCCTGGGTTCACTCGGCAGCCTTGCACGATGCAGCAGCGTCAAAGCGCGCACCGCTGCCTGCCGCTGCCAATGCCAAGAAACTCACGCGCATTCACGCACGCTGTTCAATCAAAAACCCCAGGAGAAGCAAGCCCGGCTCACCCTGGCACACCCGTGGGCTGGAAAGCCTCGAACAGACGTCATTTCGAAGTGCCCTTTAAAGCTTCCGGCGCCAGAAATATCGCAAAAAGGGCACCAATCAAAATGCCACCGGCTAAGGCCAAACTATGCCAAACTCGTGAAAGAGACTTTAAGAAACTCCGTGAAAAAGACTTTAGAAACTTCATGAAACTTTGGGCTCGTCCGGCTAGTCCTAAAAGGGTGCCGGTCAAAATGCACGCAAGCAAGTCAGTCCTTACACCAGCAACGCGAGAATTTGCTGGAAAGTGCCGACAGACCACTGTGTGAGAAGCTGGAAGCACCCAATTCTCAGACTGCTTCTTGCGCCTTAGTTGGTGCACGCTGCAATGCCAAACAGTTGCACACGCCTCTGAGCGCCAGTGGGAAGCGCTGGAGGTGACAGGGGGGGATTCTTGCATCATTCAGGCGCAACCCTAGGCCGGACAGAAAAGGAGTGGAGTTTGACACCTAAGAGAGGATAGAGGATAACCCACCCCCTAACCCCCCCCCGACGTCCGCGGCCAAACAGGGGTCCCAGGCTCGAATCCCCCTGCCGGCTCTTTCTCCTTTTGCGAAAAGGCTGGAAAAACCGTGTTTTGTTTGCGGGACATGCGGCTCCCAACCAAAAATACTGACTGGTTAAGCTTGTTTTTGGTGCATTTTTTTGGACCTAGCCCGCTTGACGGTCTCAACCGGTGCTCCAGCCCCAACCTCCGCAGACGCGAAGATCGCGTTTGGACTGCGCCAATACCATCGTGGGTCGCACGCGGCGCGGCTGTCCCAGGTACATGCCATGCCCAGGTTTGTCCGCGCCGCGAAGAAGGCTTTGTGCTTTTGACCTAGGATGGCGCAAAGACCAGCTCGATCGCCGCTTTCAACACGTCTAATAACACTCCATTGTCACGTCGCCGCCAGACAGCGTCAAACACAGCTTATCTTCGCGCACAAGTGAAAGTAGCTGCGGCAGACGCAGACAGGGTCTCTCTTGTTTCTCGCACGTACTGCTCCTACAGAAGATCTCCCGTTGACGGAGGTTCCGGGCAAGACTTCTCTGTCGAAACCTGCTTAGGTGTCTGCAACTTCCTGGGCAATATCTCCTGTTCATTGTACCTGCCGACGATTCATGAGCGGTTTCAGACGCTTTGCTTGTTTCGGCCATCATGTCAGGAAGCCGCCCCTCTTCTGCCCAGATCGTCGCCGCACCAGCCGAATGCCTCTAAGCAGGCATCGTATGACAGGCTGGCAGCATATTGTAGCTGCTACGAAGCCTGCGTTGCTATACAGGTTATTTGCAACGCAGCCAAAAAGAGTTGCGCTGCGGAGGGCTACTTCAAGATGTTGCGTGTGTTCCAAATTGAGACTTTCTTAAATGCCTGTGTTAAGGTGCTTTTCAGGTTCCAATTCAAGGTGACTTTTACGTTCCAATTTGAGATCCGGGCCCAGTCAGTCTACATAATATGTATCTAAGCACCGCACCACAGCTTCCTCTTGGATGTAGTGGGGGGTAGCAGTGGAGCACCCGCCCCTCATAAAAGAGCAGTCTCTTCCGTGTCCATGATTTCTAACCAGCTCTATGAAAGCTGCTTCAAAGGCAATCAATCAATTGGCGTTCCAAAACATCTGACCTCTCTGAGGCCTTGAAACAGGCCCCTACATTCATGGCCCATCTACAGGCATATGTATGAGGGGAGTCCAAGGTGAGGGTCCATGGCATCTCCTCTCACGGACAAACTACCACAGACCTCAGCCTATATCGTTCGGATTAGTCAACCTGTTAGGTTTCTACCCAAGGGGTGTTTCCCCAAAAGTGAGGGGAGCCCCTAAAAAATGTGACACCCCCTTCATCATCAACCCTGTCAACCCCCCAACTACTCATCAACCCAGGCTTTGTCAACCCTTGGCTTCTCAGCTCCTTCCGCATCTTGGTGAAGAGCTGCAGGGCCGCCGGCCAGTGCCAGCCGCGCTCGCAGGCTGAGATGGCCGAGTTAAAGGTGATGACCTCGCTACTCGTGTCGCGTTTCGACGCGCCAGGGGCCAGGGGCCAGGGTTGGGCTTGTCTCTTAAAAGGGGGGGGGTAACCCGACGAACCCAACCCAAAAGGGGTGTACAAAGGGGAGGTGCCAAGATCTGCCTCCATCTGCGATGGGTTTGCCGCATTGCCTCAAAATGGGGACCACCAAAATGGCCACATCAGCCATGTTTGCTGCTGCGTCTGGCAGCTTAGGCTCCAGCATCTGGTTGGCACTCCTGCGAAACATGTGCAACGCTGAGCTGATTGGTGCATTACATGCCAGGGGGTCTCAAAATAGGAATCCGTCCCCCTACAATAATTGTTTTGTTTGTTTGGTTTCCTTTCAAATACCAACCAAAAGGGGGTCCACTATTGTGAGAAACTCCCACATGTGTGTGTGTGTGTGTGTCATGTTTTCGACAGCTGAAAAGTGAAGCTGGCTCTCACAACATGTGGGTTGTGTCAAAATGGGGAGACCCCATAAAGTGTAACTTGTCCTTTCGGCTTCCCTTCAAGCTGACTTGAAAAGGGGTAGGTACCCTCATTAAACACGCACAGACATGCGCGGTCCTCCTTTGGCATGTCTTCCAGCAAGCACAGCACCAGCTGCCAGCGCCCGGCTTTGGCCAAACAGCTGAGCACCGAGTTCATCGCCACCGTGTTCACCGCCAAGTGTTCGCTGGACATCTGCACCGGCCGAACAGCTGCGAAAACTATCCACCCAGAACATGAAAGCACCCGCAAAATGGAGCCAATTCATCAAATTCATCAAATTCCTGGGAGGGGACCCTTGCAACTGCGACCTTCACTGTATATGTTTTGGTTTTTGCCGGCAAAGGGAGCAATTCATGCTTCGAGTCGCGCGGGTTTCCGTACTTGCTGCCGGAGTAACATGATTCCCAGGTATGGCGCAAGTCATGCTTGGGTTTCAAGCCCGGTGTCGGCAAAAGGGGACCTTTTATGAGAGATGCTCTGTGAGCGGATTCCTTGGAGATCAGACCTCCAAACACCATACAAACAACTGAGGAGAGCAAAAGGCGGTGGCTCAATTACATTGTGACACGAATCCAAGTGAAAGCAGGGTCCTTTTGTCACCTGCGCCCAGTCGACACTTTTGGGATCGTATATGGGTACCCCCAAACTCACTTACTGCAAAACCTGACTGAGCAATCTGGTGGGTTGTTCGCTGGTTGGCGGAGGGAAGTGACCCTGAACCCCACTGATACCCCGCAGAATTGATAGGTTGAAAGCAAGATCCCAAGTGAATCCCAAGCCTCTTGCTTCAGGCCCAAAGCCAGCTGCCAGTTACGGCCGCAGTCTGCTGCATGCACCGCTGCGCCAAAAAGGCGCACATCCTTGTCTGCGCCTGGCAAGGTCAGGATGAGTGCCGTGGCAGGGGCCCCACTTGTCCTTTTTGGGGCGGGCGTTGCTGGGGAAGCCCTTCGTGAGTGAAAGGGAAGCCAAGACGAGAAGAGGAAAGCAGCTTGGGGGTCCATTTCGACACAAACCCGCATCAAAGCTAGGAACACCTCGATTTCCAAAGGGTTGGCAAGAAGAAAGGCCCTCCACGGTTTGACGCACAGCTACATAAAACATGTGGACCGTAAGCACACCCCAACTGTCCAAATGTGTAGCCCAGCACACGTCCCTAAGCCGATGCCAGACTGGCGCTACACCCGACCGAGGCTCTATCAAGAAACTGTTGAAAATCTACGCACACTGCAAGACCAACGCACACTGCATAGTCTGGTACTATGTCAACAACATTTGAGACCACAACAATCGATGCAAAGTCAGGACAGAAAAGCCAAGGCAGCAAGGAAAGCTTGGTCTGAGATAGAGTTGCCCACCAAGTGAGCGAGCAAGTGAGTGAGCGAGCGAGCGAGTGAGTGAGCGGGAGGAGGCGGGCGGGAGGAGGAGGAGGCGGAGGAGGAGGAGGAGAGGCGGATGCAAGCGGACGCACGCGGCGCGCGGACGACGAGCGGTAAAAGTAAGAACCCCACACAAACATGTGGGGAAAAACCATGTCATCCACCCCCGTCCCCCCTCCCCCGAAATCCCCGAACCTCCATTTGCTTGAGTCCCCTGGACAAAAAATAAACATATTTCCAGTAATAGATTCCCTTTAAAACCAGGAGCAAAACAAATAAATCATCTTCTTAACCCAATGGAAAAGCGACTCTTCGCTTCGCGCGCGACTCCGCGGCTTCGCGAGACCTCTCGCCTCGCAGCGCCAGGGCCAGCTGCCAGCGCCTGGCGCGGGCGCAGGCGCTGATGGCCGCCAGTCTGGCCGCCAGGGGCGCTGAGGCCTCGCCGGAGAGGCGCCCCAAA